AAAGTGTAATTAATAATGTGAGAATGTTGCCGGGGAAAGTAATGGGAATCTAGGTGGATGGTATTGGATTTAAGGGGAGGTGTGCTTTCCAGAACTAGTCATTTAATTATTTTATAATATTTTTTCTTGGTACATACTATTGAATTTGAGAATTTGTATCATTATAAATTTTTAAAAAAGATTGGGCTCTTCCACTTCCTGCACTCTCTAATTTCAATGGAGATATTACCTCATAACCTCTCCCTTGTTAGTTCTTGCCGGTTCCTCATAATAAAATTTATTAGTTACAACTATAGCTCAGCAATAGATTTTTCGCGGCTTAAGCCCGACCCGAGCTCGAGTTTAATAAAATTTTCTGTCCGAGCCCAACCCGAGCACAAATTTTTTATTCCAGCATCCGAACTAGATTAAAATATATTTTGAATTTGAGTTTAAATATTATAATATCTAAGGAAATATTAAAAATTATATGTATTTATTCACATACTGCTACCTTAAATAAAAAAAAATAAAAAAACATAACTATTGTAACGGATCAATATTCCTGATTTTATATCGGCAATGTAGAATATAATATATATTTTATGTAACTTGATAGCATATGATGTATGTAAGTAATAGAGTTTTTACTAGTCACAATAAAAATATCAATCGCAGTAAATTATTAATTTGAGAAATGAAAATTACATAAAGAATAGGTGAAATTGACACATCTTTGGAGCAAAATAATTATTGAAGATATTTTCAATATTCAATTTTGAGGCCTCGGGTCGGGCTGGAGAAAAAGTTTTCAATCTCCGAGCACGAGGTTCAGGTTTGGTGGGGTTTCTAATTCGAACAGGAGATGCAGGACTTAGGTTACTAAGATTTATTTTTAAAAGTGAATCTTTTGATTTGTGAATATGGTTTTGGATAAATAAAGGGTAAAATTAACATTCAAAACATATTTGAAAGTTAGAATGCCCTTAAAGACATAGTGATGAGTAAAAAATACAATGTTATCAGTAGATCTTTATTTAGCTTTTATAAGATACCAATATTGAAATATTATGTTAGCATTTTTTAGCTTATTCCACCGCAAATAATAGAGTTATAATTATTCATAATAAATTAATTTTTCTCAAGATATTATGCTGGAAACTTCTTTAGCCCCACTGCACTTATCTTGTAGACGTAGATTAAAAATCATTCTTATAATCAATCGATCTCCTTATTAGCTATTATTTGATACCCATGTCGATATATTATGATAGAATATATTTAACTGTAACCATATTATACCCACTCTGATGTGTATCAATATAATCAATTGACTTCTTTTATTAGCTTTTATTTGATAAACATGTTGAGATATAGAAAATTATAAACCATCCCCAACTCCCACTCCCTGGTGTAGAGGGATGAAAATCAATGTAATTAATTAATCATCTTATTCGCTTTTACTTGATACTCGAGCCGACATAATGATATAAATTTTTAACAGACCCCCCCCCCCCGCCCATTTACAACCTGGAGGGATGAGTACTAATGTAATCAATTAATCTTTTTATTTTTTATTTGATACCCATGTTAAGATATTTTACTATACACTACCCCCACCCTCGCCAACACCCACCTGGAAGTGATTAGCATCAATGTAATTAGTTGATCTTTGGATTAAATTTCATTTAATAACCTGTTGAATATTATATATAAAAAATTTATTCATCCCACAAGTACCCTCATGTGGTGTGGAGTAACATTTTATTTTTTATTAGCATTCATTTGATACCCATGATAAGATATTATTTAAAAAAAAATTATTCCACCCCTCCCCTCATTACACTTACCCCGATGACATATAATGTCGAGTATCATGTAATCAATTTATCTTTTTATTAGCCTTTATTTGATACCTATATTGATATATGTAGAAGATTTTAACCCCCCCCCCCCCCCCCTTCCTTCAAACCTACCCTGTTGTTATAGAGTTGAGCATTAATGTAGTCACTTTAACTTTTTATTAGCTTTTATTTGATACCCATGACAAAATTATGTTTTAAAAATTTATTCGCCCCCCCCCCTCTATTACTACCTACCCCTGGTGACATATATTTAGTACGGTAAACATTTCCAAAATGTTTAACGCGTTCATGTCACCTTCAAAAAGAGGAACGCCTTTAAGTTCGTAAACGCGTTCACATTTGTTCAAAACATTTTAAATTTCATTTAATATTAAATATTATATAAATAAATACCTATATTTTTTAACGCGATATATTATCCGTGTTTTAAACTAAAAGTTTTAAGAAAAAAAAAAAATTTATTGTTAAAAAAATTTTCTTATTAATTATTACCAGTATATAAAATTAATATTTTTCATTTTCAAATGATTAAATATAGGAAAATTTTCTAATATTGAACGAACGTAAAAAATGAATATGTTCTTCAAAAAAAAGGAACGTGTTCGCGTCAAAGTTCGTCAAAAATAAAAAGAAAGTTTCATTATTTTCTTTCAAAAAAATGAACTTCGTATTTACATATTGTTAAGTATCAATGTAATCACTTTATCTTTTTATTTATTTGATATCCACGTCAAGATATTATGTATAGAAAATTTACCCCCCCCCCCTACCTTGCTAAATACCATTATAAACAATTTAGCTTTCTATTATCTTTCATTTAATACCCATGTTGACATATTATGATGAAATTTTATCTCCCAACCTCTACCCTGATCACATAAAGTGTCGAGCATCAATGTAGTCAATTTCACTTATTAGTTTTCACTTGATACTCAACAAAATATTATATTTAAAAAATGTACTCCCCCCCCCACCAACCCATGACCTACTAAACACTAGAGCATAAGCAATAAAACTCAACCAACATAGATTAATGAAACTCAACAATTTATTTGAATAACTTTAATATTAAAACAAAATATTTTAATAGTAAAAATTTATGAGCATTTAGTATTTCTTCTAATAAATTCGATAAAAAAAATTAAGATAAAATTAAAATTTTTACTTTGTAATAATCATTACCCTATTAAAATATCTAAACTAGGATTAAATTTTTCAATTATTTAAATTATCATAACTTCAACCAAGAATTAATGCGAAACTTCTCACTCGCGTGATATGCCCAGATACTAACTCAAGATTCTACCCAAAATGTATTATCCAACTAAAAATCTTGCTCATAAATGGCAGCAAGGTTTTGAACCTATTGTGAAATTTTGAGGCATAGGTTATATTATTTTGGTCGCTTTTGAAAATCGGTTGGATTGACCCGTTTAACAACATTAATTTTTAGGCTACGTGCACCATTACAGGTTGTAATTTGTGACATGTCATCAATCGATTTCCAGAATTTTAATTCTGAAATCATTTTTTTGAAGATAGTATCAGGGCAGATTTTGTGAACATCGCCATGATAAGATAGAAATAAAACAAGCAAATAAAAATACAGCTAAAATCAATTATATAATAGTGAATTTCATTTGACATTCTGCTACCTTTCGTCCTCAATTTTCAAATATTTACATCCAAATTTAATATATTTAATAGAAATTCATATGTAAAATTTTCGCCATTATTTTTAAAAAATAACTTTTTTATATATAACCCTAAGGAAAATTATATATTCCTTAAAAGCACAACAAGGTGAGACAAGCGAGAATTCATCTGAACTCGATTAAATTAGATATTTTTTTAATAAATGAACAAAACAGAAGAGATAAAGATGGAAAATAATTATTATATTTGTTTAATGAATTATAAATCATATATCAGTTGATTGTTGCAGTTGCGAAAGTAAAATAATACGTCAAGTAAAACTTTATCTCCCATCATTACTATGATTATCATTTTTTTTTAAATAATGTTTTTTGGCGAATTTTTTTTTATAAAATATAAAATAAGTCTATTTTTAAATTGATATTATATTTAAATAAATACTATGCCAACTTCAAATGATGAGGATGACTCAAAGGTCGGTAATAATAAACACGATGTTAAGGTATTATCCCCGGAAAAAGTGGAACTAAAGGCGGAAGTTAGTGAAATCGAATACATACCTTCGCAACCAGTGTTGATACCTAGTTATTCATTGTACGAGATATTCCGAGTAGACCCGCCTACTCCAAATGATACTACACATTCCACAAGTTCCAAGGATAGTTTGTGTAATATGCTAAAATTTCATTTAAAAACATCACAATTACATTTTATTTTATTAGGTCGTGAGTTAGTTAGGTTTTGTTTCTTCTACTTTTATTTTTAATTACTGAGGATTTATTTTTTTTTAAAAATGGCTATATTATTTCCTAAGTTACCTCTAAATCTGATTTACTTTTAATGAACAAAGATCAGTGTTTTGTACCGGAAGCTAGAGTTCTCGAAACCGGGACCATTTTAATTTTTTAATTTTATAGGAAACAGCTTTTTTTTAAAACTTTTACTTATTCACCCAGACTAGGGATGTAGGTAGGTTTAAATGGTACTATTTAAATTATAATTCATTTATTATTCAAATCTATTATTTGATGACTTTTTAATTTAAAAAAAAAGCAATTCCTAGCGAAACGGCCATTATTGAAGATATGTACGTTAACAATGAAAGCATCTCCGACGATTCTTCGTCGATAGCGCTCGTAAATAGAAAATCATATATGTATTTAAAATAACACCATGGCTTGGAATAGTAAAAAAAATGGAAATTTCAAGAAACTTAGTATTTATTGTAATCTATTTTCTTTAAAGGCTTTGCAAAACTAGGATTACTTTTTCTTTTGTCTCCACACTCATTTTCCAACATCGAAATATTTCGTTCTTTTTTCGAAATAATTTAAAGATATTTATGATATGATACTATTTTAAAATGCAAATTCATTTCATTCACAGTTAGCCCGAATTCTCGGCGCATTAGAAGAAGCATGCCATATTTTTGTATTCTTGGCCGCGAATTCGCGCCAACTGTGAACGAGGGGTCACCCTGCATTCATGGTTAGCACGAATATGCGGCAAAGTATACAAAATATGCTACCTTTGTGCATTTATATATACTTAGCCGCGAATTCTAACCGTGAATGCAGGGTTAGTCTCAATTTTATATCATTTAAGTAGGGGTTAATTTTAAATTTAAAAAATCTGCCCGGTTAACATGTTTTCGTTTATAGAGTGCCCAAACTGTGAATTTCATATAATTTTGACTTGAACTTTTATAACTAACTCTCTTAACTCTGATATTGTTATTTTCATATATATTTTTTTAAAAATAACAATAATGGTAAATAATTTCTGAAACTTCTAAGGTAGGTGTGTATACTCTAAATAATCCAAAAAACACCGGTGAAATCAGATTTCTCAAATTCAAAAATTTTTTTCAGGTAAATTGAAATGTTCCGAATCACCTTTTTCCTATTCCTTTATCAATCATATTTTAAAAATATATCAAGTCGTCTTATTAAATAAGCGGTGTATTCAATTTTCACTTATCGCCCTGCAATTTATAAATTTATCAGAACCGTTACCACTCATTTACAGTTAGCGCGAATTAGCGGGAAAAAAAATTCAAAAATACATCATATTTTGTATACCTCGCTACGATTTCGTGCTAACTATGAATTCAGGGTTAAGGCTATCGTTGATTTATATCTGCTCGAAAATAATGCAACACGTCTCACACACCAGATTAATAATATGAATAATTTATATACTGTTCTATTATCAACTTTAAAAATTTCATCAGGGGAGTCAGAAAGTTATGTGGGTAAGGAGGCAGCTCATAAATTACCTTTCTCTTAATATTTAAGGCCGGGAGTTTCAATAACCTGAATGAATGATGCCACGTTTCAAAATTCAAAATATGGCCAGGGATTGGTTCATCCCTTGCGCTTTAAAACTAAGCATATCTCGCTACAAATATTTAATTATGAATGAAACCGGGGGGAAGGGGTCTTAATCAAGATGCTTTTTTAATTTTTACAAATATAGTAAAAATTTATTTTGATTTAACTAATTAATCTATTTTAAAATCTAGAAATAGATTGATTTGATAACATGCTAAACAGATTTACTTATTTTAAAATATAATAATTATAATTATTTAGAGTGATTCCGCATTATCAATGGTGCCAGCGGAGGACAATGATTCAACATACTCTAATTCTTCAAGCAAAAATAAACGTGCAGCTAATTTTAATTATTCAAATACTTGTAATTTACAACTCGATATGAGATTAGAAGGTAAAAATAAATTCAATTACTAATACTATTATTTGAAGATAAGGGTCTTTTTTAAAAATAATTTTCTTAGATTTTTACAAAAAAAATACTAAATTAAAAAATGGTTTGATTTTGTTTAGGTAACAATATAGTACCAAGGAAAAATTTTAGACACATTGACTCTTCGGAATCCATGACAGGATTTCCAAGTTCTGCTAAACGGCTCAAGACATCCACTTCGGATAGTAGATTGATAGAAACAAGTGAACTTTTGTCCTCGGGGAGTAAAAAGTCAGAACTTAAAAAGGTACGTAGTAAATGCGATATATGCAAAGCTAAAGTTGGATTATTAGGTAATTCATATATTTAAAAAAAATTCAAATCGTTATTATTTTAGTTTAGCAAACTATTATTATGAAATAATGTGAAATACAGATATGAAGAGTTTCAAAAATATTTTATAAGCCAAATCTTTTAGATTTTTTCGTTAAATTTAAAATTCAAAAAAGTTATATAATATATTTATATATTGTATACCAGAGATATGAAAGGCCCGGTCGTTTAGATGGTATGATTTTATAATTAAATAACCAATAAAAAATTTCAAATCTTGGCTGAGTCTAAAAATTTTTATCACTAGTGGTCTTTAATATTATAATCAAAATGCAGATTTAACGCCTTTAACGTTTACCCTCATTTAAGGTTTTAAATTATCTGATACTATAAATCTTATATAAAAAATTATTCCCAGCTACATTCAAAAAAAAATTTTCTATGAATTAATTAGGTTTATTTCTATGTTATTATAACTATTCTATGCATTGGCTCCAGCAACAGCAGGGATACGAAGCAAATGCCTCATTAAATTTGCGAGGGAGTATATACATTTGCATTAATTGTTTCTAACTATACCAAAATATCCCATGTCTCATCATAAGGATGTTATTTAAAGTTTTATTTGTGTACAAATTTATGAAATAGATTTTAAAATGAATAAATATAATATATTTTCGTATTTCAAACAAATTTACAAACGAAATATTACAAATCTTTTAACTTTATTAGTTAGAAAAAATCTACAAATTTCTAGACGGAAATTTGTTCTATTGCTCCAGTCTCTACATGAGCGGGAGGGGTAGGAACAGTTTGCATCCAAATTCCTTGGAGGGGAGTAGGATTTAAGGTTTGTTATTAGGAGTAGGATAAATTTGATGGGGGGGGGGGGTTATTTATTAAATTTTTAGATGAAATAGGACAAAATGTATTGCTGAAAAATGAATACGTTTATTAAAGATCTATTATAATGATACGATATCACTAAAAATCAACCAAATCTATATATTGCACACAATCATAGACATTATTTTTCGAATAAAACGATTTCTGGATCATTTTTTTAAATTCTTTTAAATGAAATTTAAAAGGATTAAAAATTTTATCATCCAACTCATATTCATGCTAAACAATATACTACAGTTTTGATTTTGACCAAATTTAATGGGAATTTTTCCATACTTTTTAATTTATTTGAAAATAAAAATATTAGACTTGAAAATTTTGTTAAAATTACATATTAATATATTCTCATCAATTATTTAAAAACGTTAAAAAATATGGAAATATTTTAAATTAAATCTGCATAACCCTGTATAATAATACATTCATTGTAATTGAATGTTACAAAAATTAACTCTTTTACTTATACAATATTTTGATAGTTGGCAATAGAACAGTAATCATTTAAGTTATGAAGGGAGTACGATTATCATTGAAAAGATTAATTTATAATGTGGGAATATCGCAGCCGAAGGAAGCAGAAATTTCTTAGGAAGGTAGGCATAGATTTTTGAGGGAGGTTTGCATCAAGTGGATATCCTGTTATGTAGTCGCAGGCTTGATCACATCGAATTCAAATAATGTTTAAAAATATTAACCAAAAAAATATGGTATTTAATAAATGAATGTCCCTATTATAGTAATGGAATGATGAATATACTAATGATGTTAGGAAAAACATTCAACTCTTAACTTTGACGAAAAAAAGAAGTTATAGTTTAACATTAATACAAGTTAAATTGACAATTCATTCATATAGATAAAAAATGTATTCATTCATTGAAGTTCACCATTGAAAGTCAATACAATGTGATAGACATTTAGATAAAATGTCTTTCAATCGCAACTAATCCAGCCTATGACATTAACTACAGCTGGGTTAAATGTATGTACACTTTAATAAAAGATTCGTCAGTCTAAGGATGATATAGTATTAATGTCCTTGGTTATAGTTTTCAAAGATATTACATATATGGAATAACACATATTTTTAAATGTAACATAGTATTGTTTACAACTATCTTAACTCAAAGGTATAAAATTTGGGGGATATATGTTCTAGGGGTATTTCTCAGAGGCATAAGGGGGTATAGAAGCCATTGATTCTACGTGACAAACTTTTTTTTGTGTTCATTTTTTTAAGCACAAAATAGAGCTAGCAATTACAAATTTAGAAAAGACGTATAACGTTGTTTTTTCTCGAAAGGCTTCCTTCGTTGTTTATTGATGGGTTATTTTAAAATAAATAAAACAAAAAACGTAAAATATAACTTTTTTTAACACAAAATAAAACATATCAATATTATGGACAATAAAATTTTAAATCCGTTATTTAAAAAATAACGCAAAGTTTACAATGTATAAGCACTATAAGGATTTTTTTAAAATCGATTATGTTTGAGTTTTAGCCTTCAGTGGCCCCTACACTTTCTGAGCGAATAAAGCAGAATACCTCCCTGAAAAGTACCACCCACCCTCGAAAAAATTATAAATATTTTATGACACCCATAAATTTCAAAAATAATTTTTAGCATCAATTTTTAATATATAATATAAATAAAATGCAAAAAATATATACTTTATAAATATTATTTTTAAATTAATAATTTAGAAAAATTAGGGGAAGAGAAAGCGAAAGAATTTATAATTTCATCAATATTTAATTGTTTAAATAAATTTTTTTCCATTGATAATATGGTTTGAGAAATGAATCTTTCATGGTACTACGAAGTCTTGTTTTAATTAATTTAATTTTACTCATGACTCTTTCGGCAGTACATGAGGTTGTAGGAATGGTTCATAAATATTTATATAAATTCTTAAATTAGGAAAAGCAGAAAAATTTAAAAGTAGACGATAAGGTAAAATAAATGAATAGTTTTTCCAATCTGAATCGTAAGTCCCTGAATTATCATCATCATCAGAAGAAGCTAAATAATGTATTGGTAAAAATATTTAATTAAATAAATTTACAATTCTCAGAATCTGACAAATTTATAGAATCTTGAACCTCTAGGTCATGGGTAATAATTACATTCCCCATTTTGGCCATCTTATAAATATTTCTAAACTTCAACATTTCTTCGAAAATTTGACTTGAATTTAAATTGTAAAATTCACAGATATCCTCGATATCTTCTTTAATAATTGATTTTTCTGCCATTCCCTTTGGCGTAAAAAATGATGTTTGATGTAAAAATTTCATCGAATCATCATTAAATCTTTCGTTAAACTGCATATGTTGTATTCATTAAAATTTAATAATGCTAAATTAATATTTATTACCAGTAGAGAGATAATAAGAATTTCTTGTTCTAATTTATCAAATCTCTGCTCTGTGTCTGCTTATAAAAAAATATAGCAGAGATAAAAAATAAGAGTAATTAAATACCTCAGGTTCACTAATTTCATGATCATTATCATAATCATCAGATACTATATTTTCTTCTAACACATTTTCTCTATTATTAGGACACTTTTAAAAGATAATTATATTAATTAAAAATATTTATTATACCAACAGCATTGAATTCCCAATTCTTACTTCTTTTTTCTTAAATTGCGATTTAATACCCTTTATAATAAGATAAGTATAAATAATTAAATATTTAATAAAAAAATTACTTTGCTATTTGTCTTTAAGTAACATTCTTAAAAGCTACTATTTCAAAGCTTTTCCTTATATCGTTAAAATTAAGCCCACCATGTCTTTTTCTAATGTGATCCCATTTATCATCTCTTATATTATGCGATTTGCAATTTTTAATTAGGCATTTGTATTTTTTTTGGTTTTTAGGCATATTTAAAAATTGGAAAAATAATTTATGACAAGAAATCTGGAATAACAACCTAATTTACTAAACATTGACCAAAATTTCCGTCAATATATATTAAATTAAATATTAAGTTGGGGGGGGGAGGTCTTATTATTACATTTATAAACCAGAAATCACTTGATCATGATGGATGTAACAGAACAGTAAAAGAATTAAATAATAAAGAAAATTTTAAAAAAAGTACCTTCACTTAAATTTACTGAAGAAGTTGCTTCGGACCCCCCCCCCCCCCGTTTTAGGGGCCACTGTTAGCCTTGAATGATTTTATCAAGGTAAAAAGAAAAAAAATATTGTTATGCTAGAACCCGAAACCACTGGACTACTAAAATTCATCGAACATATTCCTCTCCTCTTACAAATGTTTAAATAACTCGTTAAAATCACCTTCAAGCTTTTAACCTAAAAATATATACCTATGCCTTTAAGTTGAGCATTAGTTTTATGATTGAGATTTTTTGGGGTGTGCAAACACTTAGAAAAGCATTTGGAGTTGGCTAAATATAGGTTCTCCTAAACATTGTAGTAAATAATCTAAAGTAAATTGTTGAAGATCAATTGAATTATTCAAATTATTAATAATAGCGGTTTGATTTAAATTTTATAGGCCACTTTAATTAGGACGTAGTTTGGCCACAATTATAACATCTTAATATCATTCAATTGTATATTTTATATTTTTTTTTCTTCATTAATTTATAAACAATGATTAAATATTAATATCTATTTACAATAAAATCAAAATTTCTTAGAAAAATATACTTTTTAAATTTTTTAACAATAGGGTTCGCTTGTAGATGTGGTGGGCAATATTGTGGCACTCATAGATATTCAAATATCCATGGTTGTAAATTTGATTATAAAAAATTGGGGAAAGAAGAAATCACGAAAGCAAATCCAGTTGTTAAAGCTTCAAAAATAACAAAAATTTAAAGAATTTTAGTAATTATTAATTGATTTTAAATAGTGGAATAATTATCAGCATTATATTCAAATAATCTATCTCCTAAATAATATCACTTTATGTTTAATAAAATTAATTTTTAATATTTGATGATATCAGATTATATGTTTGATTTTTATATTATGCATTAGATTATAGGATAATATACATTAATTCAGATGACATAGCATAGCATTAACAAATATCTTGTTTTAAAATTTGCAAACATTAATAAGTTATTGTTTCAACTTTAGCGGCTTTATAGATGTTTAGCTATATCAAAAGCAATGCTCCATACTTTCTTTAAGAAATTATGCTAACCCACTAGCGGGTTGGCATTAATTGGTTCTGCATGAGGGTTCAAGTAGTGTAAAGATAATATAAATAAAATATTTTAAAGAAATCCTAATTTTTTAAAACAAATTCGAAATTAAAAAATAAGCTGGTTAGGTCAATTTTAGTTAAATTTTCATTTATTTTATCAATCAAATAAATATTATTTTTGTAGATTTCGGGTTGCTAATTCAAATCACCAGATTATATTTATCACGCTTTTGTTATAATAAACAATAGCTTTTAGGTTGAATATGGAATGGATTTTTATTATCTTCAAAGTTGGATATAAAAAACTAGTTTTATTAATAAGTGATTGTATTTTACCGTTTTTAGTTTATTTAATCATGTTTATTTTTAGGTTTCTCGCAAGGCTAATAAAAGTAAAATTAACATTGCCAACATAACCCTTCTATAATCAAATCTTACTTAATCGGGCATGGACTTTTTACCTCTCCTTTTATTTCTCATGGGCGTTTAAGTAAGTGGCTTTGCCTCTTGCGCCCCCTGTCCAAAAAATGTGAATGGTCCTCTTAACTATTTTCACCATTTATCCCAGTCTTATGGGCTTTTTTATAGAAAACCAAGCGTTGCTCTGTTGTATATATAACGCTTTAGGGCTAGGCGCTTAATATCACATAAATTATTTTTCGGTATAAGTATGGCTATACGTTGACTGCAAATTTTAAAATTTTTATCATGGAATATTTATTATTTTTTCCTTTAATGTTTTTTTATATTATGGATATTAGATTGCTTAAATAAAAATTACCTAAAAATCAAACTCAAATTCACAAATTTAAAAAACATATAATTACAAATGTAACTTTTTTTTTATTAAGAATCAACTAGTGTTGTTAAACGACTCATGAGCCGTTTAAACTACCCACTACAAATAAAGAAAGCACAATAAAATCAGACATAAAATAGTATTCTTAAAATTGAAAAATATTGAATCTTAATAACTAATTGTAAATTTTTAATTTATCCAAACTAAAAATAGAAAATACTGAAGAAAAATAATAATTATGAATCTCTCTTTCTTAGAACAAAATTTATGAACAAGAATATATAAAATCAATTTCAAAGTCAAATAGTTCTAATTATGTTTTTATTTTACTACATTCAATAATAACAGGAAAAAGTATTGAAATAAATGATGAAAATTTTATAAATGAAACTCAAAAATAAAAAGGCAATATGATTTGATATAAGATTTATAATATATTTATTTATACATTCACTTCAAAACAAATGAAACAGAGTTGTTAAAGTATCTAGATATAAAAATGTGGTATCTGTATCAAAATAGATTTCTAATTAAAGTATCTATTTGTAGCTAGATATTATTTTAGAGGTATCTGTATCATTTAGATACATTTTGATATACTTTTATTTAACGCTTTTTTATATTATAAATAAAAATACTTGAGTGTAAAATTTATTTTATTTCATATGAACATATAAATTAATATTAATATATATATTAAAAAATTATATATATATGTAAAATATTAAAACTTATATATAAAATAGAATTTATAAATATTAATTAAATATTATGTCCGAGTTATCAATAACAAGCAAATTCTGATATTACAATCCATTTCAAGAAATTTGCCATTTTTAATTGCAATGGAATTGGTATTTTATTTTATTCTATTATATTAATTTTTAAGATTAATATTGATGACAAAAATGACGACATTCCATAGCCAATTTATATACTATATTTTAAAATAATATCTCAAAATAAAGAAAACAAATCTCTGTTAGTAAAATGTTTGCCATGTCCAAAAAATATGAAAATTTCAGTTAGCATTACCTCAACTTGCAACATTGTAAAACATTTAAGGGTATAGATACTAAATAAATGTTTACAATTTTAATTTTAAATTTTAAGAGAAAACATCAAACACTCTTAATCCAAATAAAAAAGGGGAAGGAGAAAAAATCTATTAAAGAAAATATTGAACTAGGCTCATCGTCCATTGATTTTTTTTTCAAAAGACCTCCGACTTTAACCCAAACCATTTTAGATGATTTAATATCTGATTTTATTATAGATAGCATTCAGCCATTTCAATTGTTGCAAATCCATCATTTATAAAAATGACCAAAACATTAACTCCACAAAAAAATATAATTTGCAGACAGACAGTGTTTGCTAGAATTTCCCAAAGATGGGGGAATGAAAAGATGCACAACAGCAGATTGTTGGAGTGTCTATCGCCGGTAAACATATTTACCAGCTCATTATTAAATTGAAAAATTTTAAACAAATGAACCTGAAATTTTGTTTAAAAGGAATTGAAGATAGGTAAATTAATAATAAATTAATCAGTATTTAATAATTCTAGGTTTATTGGGACAATTTTTGAAGATGAAAATATTTTGGCAACTACGCTTCATCCTTTTTTTAAACTAGATTGGACATGGTTGCAAATGGATGAAAATTTTAATAAAAAAAACAATTAATACAAAGATTAGTAGAGGAATTACCAAAGTCTTCTAATGAGTGCTAATTAACCTGTGAAAAAAACCAATAATTTAATGTCCGATTTTTTTCAGTATCCCACAGCAGGAGATATGATTGTTAATGATTTAAATTCTGATAATCAACAAATTTTAAATAGTTTTTTCAAAAATGAATGCCGAGATTTTAGTATTTTTAAACAATAAATGTTATTGATTAAATATAACACCACAATCCCTTCCAGCGTCCCTGTTGAAAGACTTTTTAGTATAGCTAAAAATGCCTATACAGATAAAATTTTGAAAATATTTTATTACTGAAAACTAATAATTATTTATACTCATTTAATCATATATTATATTATTTTATTAATGATATATATTAATTATTTATATTAATCATATATTATATTAATAATCAATATTTTAGTTATATTTTGATAAATGTGATATCGAGTCAATATTTTTTAGATCATTTCATAAATTTTCACAATAGAATCCTAATTTAGGTTTATTCAAACCTTATCTAAGAGTATAATAAAAAATGTATTTGTACCTAACATTTTAAATTGTATCTGTATCAAGATAACTTTTTAGAAGTTGTATCTGTATCTAGATAAATTTTAGACCATGTATCTGTATCTAGATCCATTTAAAAAGTATCTTTTAACAACTCTGAAATGAAATGATGTTATTTTATTATAATTGATTTATAATTATTTTCTTTATTAATCCACAAAAGTAGCAAATATTATAGTCTAAGAAGGTTATAAAAATAATTTTATAAAAAAATTGCGATGATAAAGCTCAGCATCTAAATGACAGAATATTCACTGGAGGCCAACTTCCCTCGAAAATTTATACCTAGGGTTGTTAAAAGTCCAGTTCGATTAAGATTTTGGCAAAAATAATATTATGCAAGCCCTGAGATTTTGCTAGGTTTCGTCCTCTATGCTAAATCTCTGTTATATTTATGCGTATTCCATTTTTTATAATTACGCGATAATTTGAATATGAATTATATTATTATATAATTAGTTGTTTGAATATTGTTAATCGAGTATCGACGATTGTAAATTATTATTTAGAGATATTTGAATATTTAGTTTTTGGAATATATATATTATTATTTGATGAACTTTAATGTACTTTTAATTTTTTTTTGCATATTAAAAAAATGTATATTAAAAGACATAAAATTTTTAAATAAAAAAGTTTTTTGGTTTTGCGATTTATTAAAGTTTCAGTGTTATTTTTTAAAATACGGAATAGTGATAGCGAGGTAAATCGTTCTAGTGAGAAAATTCGTAAGAATTATTATTAAATTAATTAATTATATTAATCTTTTTCTTATTATTTATTACAGGTTTCATTTTGATTTTATTAAAAGTCTCTCCCTTAAAGTCTTCGACAAATATATTACAATTAAAATATGGAATTGTAACAGTGGTGCCGTATTGATTATATCCAGGCTTTAGAAGATCGAATGCCATTCTAATTTATACTTTTCCATAAAAATTTGGACTAAGGTAAAAAAATAATATTATATATAAATTTTTATATATATTTTTTTTAAAAGGAAATTTTTTTTAAGTTATATAAATTTCTTATCATGTTATTAGTTTTATTCATATTTTTATATTTATTTAATTTTCTAAGATTAGTTAAGATTCTGTCCCATCGCAGTGGAGACGTCAGATAACAACGCAGCGTTGCTAGTGCGGGAAATTGGTGAAAGAAAAACGCGGTAGAAAGTTAGTTCTCAAGGGGGGGGATGTTATATTTATGCGTATTCCATTTTTTATAATTTACGCGATAATTTGTCAACGATTAACTATGCATCCTGGTATTGACCATTTGTTCTACCTAGTCGTTGTCAATATATTATTAACTTCATCTTAAGATCTCTTATACGATGCAGATTTCTTTTATCTTTTGATCTCAAATAAAAATTCGATCTCTACATGAGCTCGATTGCGGCATAAAATTTCTAATGACGAAAAACCGTTTCTCTTTATGAAGATTTTCGGTTAATCCACAACCTTATATTATATAAAACGATCACTTGTACCTATAACGATCTCTTGTGATGAATTCTGTTTAACTAAACGACTAATTATATTCTTTTCCGAATTACGACCATTGATATTGATACCATTGTTTCATTGCACTCATTCTTTATCTTAGAGTCGATAGTCATTTCATAAATCTCCTTCCCCCTTTATTTAGAATTATTTTCAGAGTTAATTAGACTGAATTGTTGTAATTGCCCTGGCACATCCACTCTCCAACATCATTGTAAAATAATGAAAGTTAATTAGACTGAATATGCCCATAGAACATAATGTTTCGGTAACAAATGTTGTAGTTGAGAATTAAAGAGAATACAAATAATTAGTATAAATAAATTAACTACTAATACTTTATTAATATAAATTGTAATGACATAATCATAACTAAAATAAAAAAATATGTTCGCAAATTCATAATAATTATTATTCAAGTAAAATATTCCCGATTATTTATACTTTTCTTAACTATTCATTTATATAGTGTTTAAACAACAAACTTAAATAATCTTGAACTTTATCTAATCTGAATAATACATCTTTTTAATCCATTTTTCTTTAACTCATTTGAATATTACAACAATCTCAAGGCTTGCATAATATTATTTTGGATAAATTATGTATCGGATCGTTTTAATCGACCTTTTTTAAACATTCCAACTTATACATACCTGACTAAAAAATATGACGCGACATTCCCACGTTATTAATTATTAAATAGTAATCTCTTCATAAATTTTAAAAAGAATAACATAAATAATCAACACTCCACTATAAACCATTTAAAAAAAATTGTGATATAAAAAAAGTTATTTGTTAAAATGTATAAATTATAAACCTTCCTCTATGATGAATGCATTAATTATAAAAATTTATTTGGCATGAATTCGAGTCTGATAATATTCTATCTTTAAAATTACATGTAAAAATAAAGCAGAAAATTATCCAGAATTAAGTTTTATTATGCAAATGATCTATATTTTTGATGCTTTAACTGGATCAAAATATTATGTATAATTATTCTAAATCTTGCAATATAATATTTTAAATTTCTAAATAATCACTTGTTTAATAAATAGATAAATGTGGTATTGAGATACAGAATCTATGGGTTGAAATCTCTCAATTGTATATAATTTCATGTATTAGAGCATGTATGAAATATCAAGATTTGGCAAATAGATATCCAAGTATTGGTAGTTATGAGGAAAATCTTTATGCTTCATATTATTTTAGTTGTAATCTTAATTGGGCCATTTTTTAAAATAAACCCCAGACTTTTTAACACTTACCTTAGAATTCAAGCAATTTTTGCCATGAACTTTTGTATATTTTTTAATTTATAAGGAAAAAGAGTATTTTAACAGTTCTAGGCAAAATTATCTGAAATTTATTATATGGGCACTCTACATTTTGTAACACATTTTCCTATCCAATTTTATAGACTTTTCAGTAAATTCCAATGTTGGGAGATATCAAATTCTATATCATTTTGGGGAGGCCTTTGGTTATAACATATTTATTGAATTGAGATAAGTATATACAATAATATCAATAAAATTATTTCAAATATCAATGATGACATAGCATTCACAAAAATTATCTTGTTTTAAAATTTGTAAACATGAGTAAGTTATTGCCTTAACTTCAGTGCCTTGTGGATGTTTAGCTAAATCAAAAGATTCGCCATATCCCTTAGCTTTTAATTTATAATGTATTTCATCACCATCAAAATTTTGATCATTTACATTATCTTTTGTAATATTTAAAATTTTGACTTTTCGAGCTATCAAAAAATTCTCAGCTGAGAAATAGTATAAAAATTCATTTAAATAATTAAATAGAAGGCTTTCTATGTCACTCGCTTCACATTCGATTGTCCAAGTGGTCTGAATACTAACTGTTTCTATATCTGTCATATATGCAAACATTGCTATAGCTGTCTTAAAGATATAATGCATATCTTAATTTTAATACTTGTTCAAAACACTCTTCAAGAGTTTGACCCCATGCGTGAAGCTGAACATCGGCAGGATGATCTAAATATTCATATTTTTTTTCAGGAATTTCAAAAAAATCTCCAACATCGCGCTCGTCAGCTTCGTCCATAAATAGTGAATGAATGTTTCTTGATTGTCATCTGATAACATAGATTTTAAATATGTTGTATTCAAAACTTATTTAAATTCATTTATATTATATAGTATTCTAAATTTCGTAATATTAAATGATCTGTTATTTTCTTATTATATTTTGTTATATTTCTTATTCAAAATATCCTAAAATAATATTATATAAAGCATAATCTTATATATAAATTATATCATAAAATCAAAGTAAAATATAATACAAAGTGTAATTTTATCATAAAATTAAATAAAAAAATATATAATATAAAGTCTATGAATACTAATGTATATCTTGTACGTCTATGCACAACAGTTTCTTTTATAACCATTTTACGAAATTATCACCTTTTTGCTTCCAAAATGTTTAAATATTGTGTAATAAATCAAACATATTGTTTATCATGCTTTTTGAATAATTAACAATTTCTACTACATTTATTTAAGAAGGGAATATAATTTTTATGAGCAATTAAACTTTTATTTCTTTTAAATAATTATACCCCCCCCCCCTCTCCACCACTTTATAGTGTAAACTAGATTATAGAGGTAGGCAACTTTATTTAATGAGAACAAAGATTGCATTCATATTGTAAAAATTTGATATCTTTTTGAACCCAGAATAAGATTAGGTTATCTTTGTATATTTTAGTACCTATAAATATGGTGAGGATTTGTTCTTTTTATACCTTTAGTATAATTCTCTTATATAATTGATGATATCCGATATAGACCGATAAAAATTAGACCTGAAATGAGATGACAAAGAAAAAGGTTTCTCCTAATCCCGTCTTCTTATATATTTTTTAGATATTTAAAAAAAAATTATGAACTCTCATTTATAACCTCCAAACAATTTGAATTAAACTTACAGTCCTCATGATTATTTGGGCCAGGAGTAACAAATAAACATAATTTAGTGATAATTAATTAGTTGTTACTAACCGTATTCTAACCCACAAGCATATACAACTTTAAATCTAAAATGTTATTTGAAAATGAATGAGAAATAAATGGATAAATTTATATAAATCAGTTATTTTTCTCTTTGATCTATGAATAGTATTTATTTTACTTTACCTTATCCCTCTTTGAATGTCTGCCCCTTCAAAAATGTTGGAGAAAAATTCCCTTACCCCTTATGTAGACGCTTTATGTAAATATTTAAAGATGCCGCTTGATTCAAAAATTCCACTTTTATTTAAAAATATACCATTAAAAAATATTCAAAACCAATAAGATTATAAATATAATTTATAATTCTATAGAAAGCATCATGCAGTCCCATCTTATGTATAGCTTTGAAAATGAGGGTAAAATGACTTGAACAAATTTTAATAGAATTATTTTTTTTATTTTAAAACTCTATCTATTATATTCTATAATCAAAGAGAAAATTGGCCTAGAAACTTAGATGGGCTATTTGGAGAAGCAAATAAAAAAAATTGACCATTGATTCTAAATAAATGAATACAAAACAATTGCTGGAGTTCGACAATAACCGATAAAGATATTCCTAATAAAGAATTAAAAAAATTCTGAGTGAGTGTCGTTATAAAGTCCGATTAGGGTGGATTTTTAAACAGGGCCCGATTAAGTATTTACCAAAATAAAAATATGTAGGCCACGAGATTTGGCTAATAGAGGTCCAAACCTTTCTGCCATCTGAAACTTACAGGCTTATATAATATTATTTTGGCTAAAATCTTAATCGGGCTATTTTTAAAAATTGATCCGAATCGGGCTTTATTAACACTACTGTCGATAATTTATCTTGCAATACTGCCGAGTGTAAAAGGGGCTGTCATCATATGATTTTGATCATGGTAGAGAATCCAGCGAGTTTAAGAGTAAATTACTTGTCATGAATCATGAATATCATAACATTATTGGCTCCTCGTCCTCTAGTACATTCTACAGTTGTTTAAAAATACAATATTAATATTTTCGTTTATACCCTGATAATTATAGTTTTTATTTTATAGTATTATAATTATTCAATTTTGAATCTTTATACTGAATAATTAATTCTATAATATTAATAAATTCGTGTTGTCAACAAATAACCTACATTGAAGTTTAATAAGAATTGTAAATTAATTAATTATTTAAATAATTTTCCTTAAAATATATAAATATAACCTCTCTAATTTGGGTAATGAGAAATTGCCTTGATAAATTGGGGTAAATGTCTACTTTGAAAAATAGGCAGATTTTAATTTTTTGTCTATTTGCGTAAAACCTCTATATATAAAAATCTTATCATCTCCTTAAAACTATTCATAGCAAATAACAAAATTAATAAAGAAAACAAATATAACGGGTTATTTAATTAAAAAAATTTAAGTCACTAAATTTCTAAATCATTATACTCAAGGAGAATATGCTAAAATATTTAATATTTCTAAAGAAACTGTTGGCAATATTCATAAAGCCAAAAAAGACATTATCAGATGCCCTGCAAAAACATATTGAATCGATAAACAAATAAAAATAATATCTTATTTTACTTCATAAATTAATTTTATATTTTTATTCTTATTTATAAGAATTTTATTTTATACATTCCTAATTTGTATAACTTTATGTACATGTCGTATTGGGATAAGGAATCCATAGGGATTCATGATCTCTCAATTCTATATCACTTATTGAGTGTGAGTTTTAAATTTGGAAAGTCTTTGACCGGATATATATTTCAGCATTATAAGTGACTAGTATTGTTAAACGGCTCGATTTGAGCCGATTTTAAAAGCGGCAAACTCCATATTTTGGCCAAAATAATATTGCCTTTGCCTCGAGATTTCGCAACTATATGTCCAAACTTTTGTGCCATCTATGATCCAAATATTCAAGCTTGCGTTATATTTTTCTGAATAATATATTGAGTTAGCCAATCGGCTCAAATCTAGCCGTTTAACAACACTAAGAGTGACTACCCTATAAATTTTAGACAATTTTTGCAATTATTTTTGTGTAATTTTAAATTTCTATGAAAAATAGATATAAAAATTAATTGTAATTCAAAAGTTTACAGTAAAATTGTCTGATATTCATAGTGTTAATTTTCTTTACACGCTGGAATCCATTTCCGGTCTAATCTAATTTTTCAAAGTTAAAAATTCTCCCTCAGTATTATAGTTAAATTTGAGAAATTCTGAACCCCCCATGGATTCCATATTCGAATACGGACATATACATATATTATTTTACTCATGATTTGATGAATTAAGAAAAATATGAAAATTATTTGAAAATGGTTGAATATAATCTTACTTTTTGTTAAGCTAAATATATAACAGATGACGAAATGTTTATTTTAAAGAAGTAAAAAGTCTTGATAAAATTGGCAACTGTGTAAGTTGGGCAAAAATCTTGGTTCCAACGGTGCCTAAATTAGACAGGTTTGAAACAGTTCTATCCAGGGGTTCGAACCGAACCCGAACCCTAAAAAGAAAATTCGTTTTGAAAAAATAATTTGAACCCGAACCGAACCTGAACCCTTTTTATAAAATTTTCAAAACCCCGAACCGAACCCGGGAATTTTATTTGAATCCAGGTTCAACCGGGTTCAGTGTATTGTTTAAATTAAAATAAGATTATTGTATAATTGTAAATACAAATATTAATAATTTACTTGACATTTTATAATTTTCAAATTTCAAATTAAGTGAAGTGTTAATAAGTTTTAAACAACTTAATTCATTTACTCCATTTTTAAATTTATTCAAATTTATTCTCAAAGATTCCTATTGGATTGTTAATAAATTTTAAACAATAAAATTCATTTACGCCATTTATTTTTAATTTTTAACTTATTCTCAAAGATTATTAATTAGAAGAAAATGAACAAGTAAAAATTATTATATTGGATATTGTTAATTTATAGAAATACGTCTAAATAAATTTTTTAAAATCTATATGACTATGCTTTGTATTTTTAACTATATTTTGCAAATAAAATAAAAAAAAATTTTTATATCAAATTTATGTCTAGTTTTTTAATTATGATTTAAATATAGTATATTTTTTTTTATCATTTCAAAAATTCTTAAACCCAAATTGAACCCGGAACCAGACGTTCAAAAATATTTCCCTAAACCGAACCCGAACCGAACCCGGGTATAAATTTTGCCGGGTTCACATCCCTGGTTTTATCATATTGAATTTTTTCTTAAAAAAATATTCCAAAAATTATTCTCAGGTCCAATTTTTACTATTCAATTTCCTATGGAATTATAGGTTACAGCGTTGAAAAATATTATATATGTACCTATAAAATAGGGGAAATTGTATGAAAATTAATGTTTTTTAAAAAAATATGTGGGAGACAGGGACATACTTGGGATAGATGTTCAGAGAAGAACAAGCAGGTACCAGTGGTTTCAGAGGAGAAAAATGAGGTGTCACTGGTTTTCTACTGGTTAAATATGGGTTACCAGAAGTGAATATTAAAAATGGGTATGTTCAGGCGTGCACGCAGGAATTTGGTCTGGGGGGGGGGGGTAATAAAATTTTTTAAGAAATATTTTTGTTTTTTTTAAATATCAAGCATAAATTTATTAGGACTAATAACTATTTCTAATACATAATTTTAAATTAATGTGAATTATAAAAAAATTATATGTAAAGAATCCCTTAAATGACCCAAAATAGAAATTTGAATTTTATACAAAAAGTTTCTTAGGAATAATTGCATTTTCTATGTTATATATTTACAGTGTAAAATCCAATCTTCGTTGTGATTGAGCTAATTTTTCAATTAGCCCATCTTTGCTTGTCGTCAAATGCCTATGAATATTCAAAAGATCCAAACCTTTCAATCTACTTTCAAATGTTGTACTTTTTGGTATGTTTTTCAGAAACCTGCAGGCTCGGCCCCCGGGCCGGACAGTATTTTAATTTTTTTAAATATACCCGGGCCGGGCCCGAAATTTTTTTAAAAAAAACACCCAAGCCGGGTCTGAATTATTTTAAAAAAACAC